TCTATGGGTACACTGGTACAGTATTCTATGGGTACACTGGTTCTCTATGGATACACTAGTACAGTACTCTATGGGTACACTGGTTCTCTATGGGTACATGAGTAGTTCTCTATGGGTACACTGGTTCTCTATGGGTATACTGGTACAGTACTCTATGGGTACACTGGTTCTCTATGGGTATACTGGTACAGTACTCTATGGGTACACTGGTTCTCTATGGGTACACAAGTACAGTACTCTATGGGTACACTGGTTCAAAATGGGTACACTAGTACAATACTTTATGGGTACACTGGTTCTCTATGGGTACACTAGTACAGTACTCTATGGGTACACTGGTTCTCTATGGGTACAAAAGTACAGTAATCTATGGGTACACTGGTTCTCTATGGGTACACGAGTACAGTTCTCTATGGGTACACTGGTTCTCTATGGGTACAAAAGTACAGTAATCTATGGGTACACTGGTTCTCTATGGGTACACGAGTACAGTTCTCTATGGGTACACTGGTTCTCTATGGGTACACTGGTTATCTATGGGTACACTGGTACTCTATGGGTACACTGGTACAGTATTCTATGGGTACACTGGTTCTCTATGGATACACTAGTATAGTACTCTATGGGTACACTGGTTCTCTATGGGTACATGAGTAGTTCTCTATGGGTACACTGGTTCTCTATGGGTATACTGGTACAGTACTCTATGGGTACACTGGTTCTCTATGGGTATACTGGTACAGTACTCTATGGGTACACTGGTTCTCTATGGGTACACAAGTACAGTTCTCTATGGGTACACTGGTTCTCTATGGGTACACTGGTACAGTATTCTATGGGTACACTGGTTCTCTATGGGCACACGAGTACAGTACTCTGTGGGTACACTGGTTCTCTATGGGTACACTGGTACAGTATTCTATGGGTACACTGGTTCTCTATGGATACACGAGTACAGTACTCTGTGGGTACACTGTTTCTCTATGGGTACACTGGCACAGTATTCTATGGGTACACTGGTTCTCTATGGGTATACTGGTACAGTACTCTATGGGTACACTGGTTCTCTATGTTTCGATTTAAAGCTTTTGTGACTGCAGGGATTCATCTTCTTGGTTCTTTCGGTAAAGTCACGTAGAAGGGAAGTAATAAAATAATAAAAATAAAACATAATAAAATCAAATAATTCTCACGACGTTTCGGCTACAACGCAAGCAGCCGTCTTCAGGTGAAGAATGAGACACTGCCAAGCTAGGAGCTTATATATAAGCTGAGTTGGAGGTGGAAGAAGAAGAGAGCCTTAACAAAAGAATGTGCATATCAAGAGGAATTTAGCATATTCATGAGAAACGCGTAGGAGGTGGGCGGGGGGGTTTCAAAGTCATATTATGCCCATGCATTATGCAGGATCAGCAGCACCAAAGGGAGGGGGGGTAGCATTAACAAAGGGAGGGCATGTTAATAATATGTAGAAGCAATGAAACATGTGAAGAAACATGTGAAGAACTCCCTCATCAAGACTCTATACCATAGAGCCCAATGCATCTCCGACCAGGAACACATTGCCAGTGAACTCAAACACGTACGCCAAGCTCTTAAGGCTAATGGTTACTCCGACTACACAATCCGCAAGGCCATCACTCCAACCGTCAAGAAGGATCCTGCTGAGGAGCCTTTCAAAACCATCACCTTACCCTACATTGCTGGGGTCACAAAAAAGATCTCCAAAAGCCTGATTAAACACAAGATTCAGGTACGATTCAACACAGTACATAAATCCGTGATCTGGTTCCGTCTGTAAAAGACGTGGTTCCATACATACAGTACCCTGGCGTCTACAAACTAAGTTGCCTCTGTGGTAGCAGTTACATTGGAGAAACCAAACGACATGTCTCGGACCGCATCCGTGAACATAAAGCTGACCTGAAACACGGTAGGACAAACACCTCAGCCGTGGCAGATCACTGTTACAATTCAGTGGGTTCACATGACATTGACTTCTCCAAGACAGAGGTTCTCTGCAAGCCATCTGGCTACCATGAGAGATTCGTTCATGAGGCGATCCACATATACAAACACAGAGACAATTTCAACCGAGAAGATGGATTCTGGCTCAGCAATCATTGGAAGGACGTAATAAACCACTTCGGATCTTAACTGATTGGTGACTTTCAGACCGCAGTCCACTCACTGGCATTAACTGTGTATCTTGTGTTCTCCACAGGGAATGCATCATTTGCTCCGCTGCGGATCTCCTGCCACCGTTTTCCCATTCACATGTTTCATTGCTTCTACATATTATTAACATGCCCTCCCTTTGTTAATGCTACCCCCCCCCCCTTTGGTGCTGCTGATCCTGCATAATGCATGGGCATAATATGACTTTGAAACCCCCCCGCCCACCTCCTACGCATTTTCCATGAATATGCTAAATTCCTCTTGATATGCACATTCTTTTGTTAAGGCTCTCTTCTTCTTCCACCTCCAACTCAGCTTATATATAAGCTCCTAGCTTGGCAGTGTCTCATTCTTCACCTGAAGACGGCTGCTTGCGTTGTAGCCGAAACGTCGTGAGAATTATTTGATTTTATTATGTTTATTTTATTATTTTATTACTTCCCTTCTACGTGACTTTACCGAAAGAACCAAGAAGATGGTTCTCTATGGGTACACAAGTACAGTTCTCTATGGGTACACTGGTTCTCTATGGGTACACTGGTACAGTATTCTATGGGAACACTGGTTCTCTATGGGTACACGAGTACAGTACTCTATGGGTACACTGGTTCTCTATGGGTACACTGGTACAGTATCTATGGGTACACGAGTACAGTACTCTGTGGGTACACTGGTTCTCTATGGGTACACTGGCACAGTATTCTATGGGTACACTGGTTCTCTATGGGTATACTGATACAGTACTCTATGGGTACACTGGTTCTCTATGGGTACACTGGTACAGTATTCTATGGGTACACTGGTTCTCTATGGGTATACTGGTACAGTACTCTATGGGTACACTGGTTCTCTATGGGTACACAAGTACAGTTCCTCTATGGGTACACTGGTTCTCTATGGGTACACTGGTACAGTATTCTATGGGTACACTGGTTCTCTATGGGTACACGAGTACAGTATTCTATGGGTACACTGGTTCTCTATGGGTACACTGGCACAGTATTCTATGGGTACACTGGTTCTCTATGGGTACACGAGCACAGTACTCTATGGGTACACTGGTTCTCTATGGCATAGTGATACTCTATGTGAGATGACGCCGGTATCGTATCGAGGTCCCTGAAGCTGACGCTGCTCACTGCGCGGCGTTTGCTGCGAGCGAGGTGGCCGCTACCTCCCACTGCTCCAGCAGGCGCGCCATGTCGGCATCGTTGAAGTCGCGGATGTCCTTCTTCTTCGCCGCCGCCGCCTTCTTGTCGCTGCCCGAGTCCTTCTCGGCCGCCCCGTCGGGGCAGAGCGCCGCGACCACGACAAGCAACAGCAGTAGCGACCTGCACAGCGCGACTGCCATGACGACTCCAGAGAGACGGTGGTGGGGGGCGCGCACGTGACCCGTAGAGTGGGGGGCCGGGAGTCGTCACCTCGAGGGCGGCCATGTTGGATGTGGAGAATGCCGAGTGCATTTGTGACGGCCATCTTGGGCGGGGAGACGGCACGTTCAAGACCGTGTCAGCACGCGCGGCTTTATCCCGTATTCTTGTGCAGGGAAATTGAGTTTGCAGGTCCGTACGTACGGAATACTATACAGTCGTTTCAATGCGGGATAATTTTTTGGTCAATTCGTTTGTGTTTCTCCCTTGTGATGGGACTTTGTAGGATGAACGTTGAGATGTATACGGGGTACCCGGGTGACCAATAAGATCTGAATTGGTCCGTCATAAGGTAGGCACTGTGATAAGCGGGAAGCCTTACACGCGCGCAGGCGTAGCCCCCCCCCCCACGCGTAACGCAGGCGAACCAATCAAAGCGCGGCGCGGAATGTGTTTTTTATTCCCCCCCCTCCGCTTCCCCCCTACCAACATGGCCAGCCAAGGCCGACGGGGCGGCCCCACATTCGCCAATGGACGGGCAAGAGAGGCGGCGCACGTGACGCGTCGCGGTGGCCAATCAATGGGCGCCCGTGGATCCAGGACGCGAGGCGGAATCTGAAGTCGCCGGGCAGCGAGGAGGGAAGGGGCGAGGGGGAGGGGGGGAGGGGGAGGGGGCGGGGTCGGTGGAAAGGGGGGAGGAGCGGCTACTTCCCCCTCCCCCCCCAGGGCTCCGACTCCTCCCTCAGAGCAGCCTGGGCAGTCGCAGGGCGCGGCGGGGGGAGTCGTTGTCCCGCCGACTCCCCGCCGTCCTCTCGAGGCAGCTCCCTGCCTGAGTCCCCCCCCCCCCTCTGTTCATCCTCCCACGCTGAGCTTTCTTCCTTCCCTGTCCGAGCGCTCTCCTCTTCCCTCCACGTTCCCTGTCCAACTTAACCCCCGCCCCAGTCTCTCTCCGTCTCCCATCCGCCCGTCCACTCTCCCGCCCACGTCCCTCTAACCCCCCCACCATTATCTTAGCTGCAGGGAAAAGCCCCGAGCAGGAAGCCGAGGCGTGTGTCGCGGCGTTTCCCGTGGCCCGCACCCCTCCTCGGGCCCGGGGACCCAGGGACCCCGGACCCCGGGGCCACACCCTGCCGCCTTCCGGCCATGGGAGTCCGGCCCGGCGCCTCACGGCCCGGAGGCGCACGCTTCCTCCTCACCAGCCCCGCACTGTCCCGGCCGCCCTCGCTTGGCCGTTCACTGCTGCCGAGCAGGACTTGAGAGAGCGAGGCAGGGAGAGGGGGGGGGCAGCAGGGAGCGAGCGAGGCAGGGAGAGAGAGAGGCCGCTCGGCCCCGTCGGCCTCGCCCAGCCGCGCAGCCGGGACGCGGCCACCGCCCGTCCCCAAATAAACCAGAGCAGGGACGGGAGACTCGTCGCGACCAGGAGGAGGAGGAGGAGGCCAGCAGCGGGTCCCCCGCACACACCCGGCGAGGCGAAGAGGGCCGGGCCGTCCCTGCCGTCCCCGCTCGCTTGATGCGCCCCCGGCCCGGGGTCGAGCCGAGCCGCGCCTCCCGGGCGACCCAGCGCCGCCGCCGTCTCCTCGTCCTCCTCGGCCACCCCAGAACGACGCCGCCGCCGCTTTATGGAAGGATGATGGAGCCGGCGCGGAGGCGGCGAGCGGGGCGCGGCGAGCAAGGCGAGAGAGGCCGGCATGGCTAGCGCCGGCGGAGGGCCAGGGCAGACGTGCGGTAGCGGAGGTTGCGGTCCGAGGCGCGTCGGCGAAGCTGCCGCTGCTGCCGCTGCTGCTGCTGCCGGCGGCGGCGGTGCCCGCGGCGGGGCCGCGACCCCCGGCGCGGAGCTGCGCAGGCTGGCGGCGGCGAGCGAGGCGAGTCGGGCTCGCATGCAGCTGGCGGCCGAGCTGCTGCTGCTGTCCGGCGAGGCGCGGCCCGTGTCGTGGTCGGGGGCCGCCGCCTCGGCCGTGGCCTTCGGCCGACTCGTCCTTCGCCAAGTGTCGGGACGCGGTGATCGCCCGCAGCAAGGGCCTCCTCATCGCCGCCCTGGACGCGCAGACCCAGGCGGGCGCGGGGCGGCCGGGCGAGGCGGCCGAGGAGCGCGGCCCGTCTCGGGGAACTGGTGGTGGCGCTCACCGAGTGCGCGGCCGAGGCTGCCTACCGGGCCGGGCTGGCGGCCCCGGGCTCCAGTCCCGCGCGGCCGGGCCTGGCGGACGCGTACCGCGTTGCCCGCTCCCAACACGAGGTGGAGGCGGCGTGCGCCCGGCTCCGACACGGACCCCTGGAGGACCTCACCCCGCAGGTTCTGCTCGACATCTCGGCCGGCGTCTCCCGGCACCTGCGCCTGCTTACGGACGCGTGCGGCGCCGAGGAGACGGGGCCCGAGGGTGACCCCGCCGCGGACCCGCCACCGGATCCCTTCGCGCGGGAGCAGTTCAAGCTCGGCGTGCGCAGCGCGGGCGCCTGTGCCTCGGCGCTGCTGGCAGGGATCCGAGCCCTCAAGGCGGCCCCCGGCGAAGCCACGCGGGCCCGGGCGCTGCTGTTCGCGGCGCCGCTCGTCCACGCCGTGCGCGCCCTCGCGGGGCTGGCGAGCGAGCCGCGCTGCCGAGGCCGCGCCGCGACGCTGGGGCCCGAGGGCCGCGCCGCGCACACGGCTATCGCGGGCGGGGCCATGAGCGTGGTGTCGGCGTGCGTGCTGGTGGTCGAGTGTCTCGGGGACAACGCGCAGCTGCAGATGCAGCAGCTGCAGCAGCAGCAGCAGCAGCAGAGGCGTCACGGCCAAGCGGGGCCTGCGGACGCGCGCAGGGTGGCCGCCGCGCTCGGGGAGAGGCTGCGGCAGGCCGTGCGCGCCGCCTCGGACGGATGCGAGATGCTGTCCCACGCCCTGAGGGAGCGCGCCTCTCCACGAGCCATCGCCCCGGCCATGCAGTCCCTGGCGCTCAGCTGATAAGCAGCCCCCCCCGCACCGCGCGAGACTCTCACCTGCGTGCTTAAGCGCTCATCAGCCGATACCTCCACGCACACCATCATACATCCTCAGCCATCCACTCGCTACCACACTGCATCCTAACCTATTCGCCAGCCTACATTCTCAACAGGTTACCATCCTCACTCTCCCTCTCAACAGCTTTCTCAACGGCTCATACGTAACACAACTCGCCAACATATATCTTCACTCGCCCACTCACCCATCTTATATCCTAAGCCACTCAACAGCCAGTATCACCACCAGCCACTACCATCAACCTTGCATCCTCACCCACTCATCACCCCAAACCTCGCGATCACCGAACAGATCTGTGAAATTTGTGAACCTGGGAACAAACCTCTACCCCAAGCTCAGGGGTAACGGCGTCTCCCGCTCCGGGAGTTTCCGGCACTCAGTCCTGCCGGGTAATGCTGCTGCTGATGGTGGTGGTGACGGTAATAATGATGATGCGCTGTGTTTTTGAGACGACTGTTGGAAGGTGTCGGTGCGTGCACACGTTGTGAGGTTATGAATGCTCCGTGTTGAATTTAAATGCCCGCGTCGCTGTGAAGCAGAAATTGCGATCTCGGGTCGAGGAAATTCCTGATTGTGACTGTAACCGCGTTAACGTATGGAACCCAGCCCTATCTTAGCCTTAATACCAGCACCAAACTAACCCTATCCCAGCCTTAATATAATACCAAACTGACCCTAACCCAGCCTTAACCCTAACCCAGCTCTCGCCCTAAATCAGCCCTAGCCCAGCCTTAATACAGCGCCATACTAAACCCTAACCCTGCCTAAACCCTAGCCCAGCTATAACCCAGCCTGCTGAATATGCATCTAACCCAGCTATACCTGGTCCTAACCCGGACCTATCTCTAACCAGATCCCCTCCGATGACCCTGGCCAAAGGCCCAATTCCAAGACAAATCCTTACCCTTGTTCCCATTTTAGCTGAAGCCCTATACCTAACGTCACACAAACATCCTGAGTGGACGGACTTGGAGCAACCAGTCACTAACCACAGTGCTTTCCCAAGCCCCAACACAGTCATAACCCCTTAATACTGATCCCAACCCAAACCCTACCTCAGGGCATCTTAACCTCCAGTCCTTCGGACCAACCAAATCAATGCACCCCACAAAAAAATTTAATAATTACATGCTGCATGCCCCCGATGGTTGCTAAAGATGTCGCATGAGCAATTATCAGGCGCACGCAGTTGTGTTAATGATGTGTCTGGACGGGATATTGGTGAACGTTTAAAGGCAGAGCCTGGTAGGGGGCCTTTAGAGCTTGGGGAACTTCCGGATCCACGTCAGTGCCTTAACTTGGACCCCAAAGGTTAGGCCTCTAGTGGCTGCATTAACTCTTGAGGTGGTGGTGGGGAGATTAGTGGGCTGAATTGGCGAGCATCGATTCATTGACTCCAGCACCGCAACTGACCCTCGCGCCAGTGATTCACACGTAGAATCAAGCTCGCACTTAGACGCGATTACCCAATCCGATTCGTGCCGTGCGATGAGAGGAGCACAGATTAGCATGGGAAAACAGGCGAGCCACCGAGCATATGCATCATTCATGCCACATCCTGAGGCTGGGAATCGATACGGCGTCTAATGTCAGTGGCAAAGTGATACATGAAGCGATGCACTGACCTGCGTGGTGAAGTATAGTCCTATAAACCTCAACGGCATGACGTTCATTGACGGGCTGTCGTTTTTGAAAAATTTACCTTGTTTTGCAAGTGAAGCGAAGGAGACTTTACTCACGAGACAACGATTCAAACAAGACCAATCTACATCGGCTCAGGTGGGATCAAGCCCTTGAGTCGTGGCGGCTGAGTGAATCACTGGAGTTGTGAATCCTTGCTCGCTCGGCACGATGCGGTGGTGGGGACTGGCCCGGGCGTTGTGTGCCCCCCCCCCCCCATTCGGTTTGAGTGCCGCTGCCACATGCGAGTGATTGTGTCCCCCCCCCATCCCCACTTGATCAACTCTGAGACTTACAAACTCCCCTACGGGGTAATGGCCGAACCTTACAGGTTCGTTTTTCGGATCAAGTGAGAAGTGCAAGGACCCTGGATCACAAAATTCTGCCCTCCGCTCCTTGTACTGCAAACACCAATGGGTGGGGTCACTGGGAGGAGTGGGGGGCATGTCCAGTGCTCCATTGCGGAATGTGAACCTTGCCTTTGGTACCCCCCTCCCCCCCCCCCACAAAGGCCAAGGCAACTTTGCCAGGCCTTCCTCCGCCTCCTCTGGTCATCTGACCTTGCTGTTCCCGTCCCTCCCCGGTCTGCTTCGTGGGTTCCTCCTAATGGATAGCAGTGCCGCCCCCCCCCCCCAGCTGTGGCTAGCGAGGTTCAAGGTCACGCCCTTGGCGCTACCCCTCCTCGCCATCGCTTCTGCCATGTCCCACAGCAGAGGTACACTCGACGTGGAGGCCCCCATTGTCATCCCTCGAATGGGTTATACGTTGAGGCTGGGATTAGGGGTTCTCCCCACACACCCCCCCTTATTAGACGTTGCCCCTTTCTCCTTATGACCCCCCCCCCCCTTTACTGGGTCCTCGAGTCAGAACTTGGTCTGCACTGACCCGTCCCATCCGGCCTGGGCCCCCTCTGTGGCCCCTCTGACCCCCAGAATGCCCTTCGTGGGGCATTCTGGGGGTCCGCCGTCATTT